CTTGGTCCGACGCAAAGGTCATAAGCTTATCAGTCACTAAACTGACCCCCCGCTCACGGGTAAAAACTCCGCGCAGGTCACTCGCGGCTTCGCTGAGGGCATCGAGCACATCCTTGCGTCGCCCGTAGCAAACCACCGTGTCGTCATCGATTTACGACGGCAGGTCGACGCTCGGGCTGCGATGCAGAAAGCCGCCGAACGGTTGCATCGCATGCACCTTGACAGACATACCGTTGAGGCAGGATCCAGCGGGCAGCCCGCTGGCGGCGTGCAAGTTGACCGAGCTGTGGTCAGATCCAAGACGAAGGATCCTCGGCCCTCTCCAAAAATTGAACGCGACCTTGACAACTATAGGCTCGAGCCCAGCTGCCAAGGCTGTTCTTTTCAGCAAACCCAAATCAAAATGTTCGAAATACTTGGTTCCGCCCCAAGAGAAACCAACGGCAACTCCGCCAGCCTCCACCCTGGCTTCCGTCTTGACCGCCTGGCTCCAGACACACGCTTCCGCCGACCTCCAAGCCCCTAAAGCCCAATACTTACGAGGCGGGTGGTTCATCGCGACAGTAAGTCGGGGCCACCTGAGGTCCCCCCACGAACGCACAGGAGCCGCACACAGGAGGATAGGCCGCAGTCCCCCTTTGGGTTTCTCGAGGAGGGGGGAAGAGCATCCAACGCAGCGCCCTGAGGTACAAGCCGAATTTCTCAGCCGTCTGAAAAATGCGCGCCAGGTTTTCCAACCCAGGGTCAGTCTGGCACGCAAACTGTCGCACATGCACCCCATCGAAGGATTGAGCTGCGCGCGGCGAGAAGATCCTGGCGGCCGAGCGGATCTCGTCCGCAGTCAGAGGCAAACAGTTCTTGTCGGAGACGTCAACCATCGGTGGGAGGGTAGTCGCATGCCAAAAACCCCCAAGGACATCGGCTTCCTCGGCCAACAACAAGCGCGGGTCGGAACCAAACACGCCAGGAGTTTTCTCGGTGACCGTGGGCTCCCATATGTTTCTGAGGCGGGTGGGGCTATGCATCTTACGCGCGGAGCCGGCCAAGGCTTCCGCTTGCCATTGATATCACCCCTTCTGATCCCCCCCATCAAGCCCTGCCCTCGCATCCGAGAAGTCCCCCTCCCACTCCTCAAGCAGCTCAGCGAACTGGTCAACCCAGCCGGCGAGCCCAGCGAGGCGCGCAGGCCAGATGGCCATTACCTGGCGGGCCTTCGCGACTGTCACGTCGAGCCTAGGCGAGATCCCCTCGGCGCCGAAGGGTTGCGAAACAATACTCATCAAATTTCGGGCCGCTTGGACCTCGTCATGATCCACAAAGACTTGCTGCTGCACGGCCAGGCGCTGGCTGGTGCTGAGCAAATTCTGCTGGAGCCAAACCAAGCCCAACCAGACCCTAACATCATCTTCTCCCTTACGCTGGGAGGGCTGGAGCAGAAGGGCCCACCGAGCAAAGAGCGGCAAACCTTTCTTACCTTTACGCTTGACGGGGGCGCCCAACCTACTCTCGAGCTCAAGCTCCATCGCATCGGAGACAGATTTCGGAGCCCCGTCCAGCACGCCCCAAGCAACGGTTACATCATGGGCGTCGGCGACGAGATTGGCCTTCTCCGCGATAGCCCTGGGCAAGGTCCAACCAATGGGTTTCCTCGAGGGCCAAAAGGGCGTTCCGTGGGGAGCCTCTGGTGGAAACTGTACACGAGCTGATGTAGCTTGACTGTCCCAGGCCTGAGCTGTAGCTGCACAGGTCGGTGTGGTCGCTTGGCCCAGGACGTCACCACATCCACACGATGTACGAGCTTACTGAAGGCGGCCGCTGCCGAAAGATAATCGGTCGCGGTGTTTGCCTGCGGCGTGGCGCAGGTCTCCATAGGGGGCTTCTAAACAAGCAATCTGGCCTTGCGCGGCATGCCAGACATCTCCATGCACTCAAAACCGAAATTCCCGTCAGCGCCGAGCAGCGCGAGATGCCTACCCTCCACCACCTGTCCCGCCTTACCGAATGTGTGAAGGCTTCTTTGATTAAGCCCTTCCCCCGTTTACATGTAAGCACTGCCGGCTAGAAGCGGTGACCATCCTGGCAGGTCCACTTTAGCAAAAAGAAGCCGATGCGGTACAACAACACATTTTGCGACATGGGACGTTCATCGTAATCCGACAGTGGTTCGCGTACAAATGGCCACTCCAGCAGAGAACTACCCCTGCTCGCAATGGATCGATGGTGATGCCAGCATGTTCCACCCCATAGCGTTAGCCGTATGCATACGTGCCGCCAGCCTCTCCGCATACATTCCTATCTCCTGCGCGCACACCACTAGTGGGCGAGTGCTGCCCGAAAAAATGTAGGGTTTGAGCTACCCCAAAACTGCAAAGCCACAGTGGCACGCGGCAGCGACTTCCGCTCTGAACCCTGCTGTCGCAAGCGCAAGGCGAAAAGCCTGAGCCAGAACGGCTATGTGTAACGTATACGTGTATGCATGTGTAAGCGTGTTGGTATGGCT